TGTTTATTATTACTTTAGCCGATTGGTCTTTATATATGGTCTTAACCATATTGATAAATCTGTCCCCAAAATCCATCTTTTGTAATTGTAAAATCATAAATTGCCAATTCACATTATCAAATGCTTTCTGCGCATCTAAAAATAACAATGCCATTTGTTTCTCTGAATGTGCCTCATGCCTTCCAATGTATCCAAAATAATTCTTATATGGTCCCTAATTTGTCTTTTAGGCAAAAAACCATTTTGGTCTGGGTGTATAAATTCATTTAAAAGCCTCTTCAATCTTTCTGCCATAATTGATGCAAATATTTTATAATCTGTATTTAATAGTGAAATTGGTCTATAATTCTTTATTTGTTGTAAATCTGTTTCTTCTTTTGGTATAAGAGTTATATATGCCTCCATCCATGAATTCGGTGCCTTGGCTTCTATTAACAAATCATTACATACTTGTAACAATATATTACTTAGTACATCTTGCAACTTTTTATATACTTCTGCTGGTAGCCCATCTGGTCCTGGGGTTTTTCCATTCTTCTGCCTTTTAATTCCCTCCATCAATTCCATCATTGTTATTCTTTCTTCTAATGCTTTTTAAAATTGTTCTGGTATTTTAGGGGTCATTACCTTTTCCAAATATTGTTCTATCCTTTCTTCTGGTATCTGCTCTTGTTGATATAATTTCTTATAATATTTCTCAATTATCTTTTTCTTTTCCTCATTTCGGTAACATATCTTTCCCCTTTGATCTAATAATTGAGTTATCAGTTTCCTTTCTTTTTCCTTCTTCATCTTGTATGCCAGCCACCTTCCTGGTTTATTTGCATTTTCAAAAAAGTTTTGCTTTGATGCTTTTATTTTCCTTGCCAATTCTTCATTTTCTATTAAATTCAATTTATGTCTCCCCAATTCCATTAGGTTTTTAGTTTTTTTGTCTTGTGGATTTTTTTGCAATTCCTTCTCTAACTTCTTATATTCCTGTTCCAACTTCTTTTGAGTTTGTCCTGTTTGTTTGTTTTTCCTGCATATGTCATTGCCAAACCCCTTATATATGCTTTGCTAGTGTCCCATACATTTTGCAGTGATGTATCTTCTTTTCTATTTTCTTTGAAGAAAAAAGTCAATTCTTTTTCCATATATTGTGTAAAATCTTTCTCATTTAATAGGCTTTGATTTAATGTCCATCTCATTCTTTTTTTTTTTTGTCCTTTCCATATCATCATTATTGGATGCCCATATATTTGCTTCTATATCAATGTTTTCTATCTTGGATATTAAGTCTATGGACATCCACACCATATCTATTCTTGACGATGACATATGCCTGTTTGAATAGAATGTATATTGTTTTTCCTTTAAATTTCTTTCCCTCCAAGCATCTTGTAAACTTAATTCATCTACCATTGTATAGAATGTTTTCGGGAGTGTCTTTCTTGGTTTTTTATTCATTTTTGTAGATTTATAATCTAACTCATTATCAACAATCGCATTAAAATCTCCAATTATGCAAATATCTTCATATTCATATTCTAATATTTTCTGGTGTAATTTTGCATAAAATTCTTCTTGATTTTCATTTGGAGCATATATACCCACAATTAATATTTTTTTATAGTTCATTACAATTTCTACCATTAATACTCTTCCTTCCTCATCCTCATATATTTGTTTGGATTGTATTGTCTGTTTGATGTAAAATGCTACTCCTCTTTTGCTTTGACCAGCCAAAGTTGTATACAATGTCCCTAGTTTTATTTGCTCCAAAAAAAATTTATGTTGTTTTCTAATATGCACTTCTGGTAAACATATAATTTCTAATTTTAACTTCTCTAATTTATTAAATATTTTTCTTCTCTTTATCACTGAGTTTAATCCATTTATATTCAATGATATTATTTTAATTTCTTCTTCCATTTCTTATTTATTTGCTTTGTTGATCTAGTCATTCTTATCTCCCTTAGTTCCTTAACTTCTTTCGCCCTTGCTCCTTCTCTTAACACTCTCTCTTCTTGTTCTTTTGTTGTCTCTCTTGGCTGTTCTTTCTTCTCCTCCTGTTGTTCATCCCCTTTTTCTTCCCTCAACCTTCCTTCCTCTTGGACATCTATGTATTGTTTATAAAATAACTCTGCTTTCTCTATTGAATCTAGTCTGTATCTTTGTTCTTCTCTGTTCACCAATATTCCTTCTGGAATCAACCATCTAAAATTTATTCCTCTCTTTATTAAACATTTCGTGAGAAATTGATATTCTTTTCTCAAATCTCTTCTTGGAATTTGTTTCAGTGCCAGTACTTCTCTCCTTTTATGTTTTATCGTTGTGTTTCTCATCAATTGCAATATCACTGTTCTCAGTGTTTTCTTGGTGAATCTGACATGAATTTCTCTAAGTAGATTATATTGCATATCTTGTGTGCACTCTCTATATCTCATCAATTCCACTTAATATCCCTTCCTTACTTTCTTCCATTGCTTCTGCTAGTATCTCTGCAATTTTCTCTGCTAAATTTTCTCCCTTTTCTTCTTCAATGTTTTATCTTAGATAAAAATCAGCTTTATCCATTTCCAGGGTTATAATTGTTTTTTCCTGATTTTTATCAGTAATTGTAAGTCTACAGTTCATCTCTTCAACTTTTTTCTCCGTTGCTTTTGCTTTTCCTTCCATTTGCTGCAATCGTTGTTCATTTTTCCCTATCATTTCTTTAACTTCTTTCAATTCTCCTTCCATTTTTTCCATTCTCCCATCTACCTTGTCTAATCTTGTCTTAAGATCTTCATATGTAGTCTGTAGCATATTTTTTAATTCTATGTTTATTTTCTCTTGCTGTGGCATGGGTTCTGTTGTTTTTTTGCCCAATAGTACCAGATGCTGCAGATATTGATGGTGATGATGAATGTTGTGTTGTTTTCTTCATCTTCTTCTTGTTGTTGTTTTTCAAATCTTACTGCCCAATTTATAATGCAAATATTCGATTTCTACAATTCAAACTGCCCACTCAGACTCTTCAGGTTCTTGCTACCCTAATCCACATAGATTTAATCCATATAGGATAAAAAAAAAAAGGTAGAAAGACTGTAACTGAAAAAACAACACCAAAAACAATGAAAAATCAAAAACAGTCAAGATGCCCCAAAAAGGCAAAAAAGAAAGAAAAAAAGAAAAAAAGAAAGAAAGAAAGAAAGAAAGAAAGAAAGAAAAGGAAAAAGAAAAGCAAAAGAGAAAAAATATTTTTCAAATTTTACTACCCAGTTTTATAATCCAAATATTCAATTTCTTTAAATTCAAAATGCCCAATCAGATTCTTCAAGTTCTTGATACCCTAATCCACATAGATTTAATCCATAAACTATACAAAAAGCCAAGAACAATCAAACAGCCCAAAAGGGCAAAAATGAAGGGGGGAAAAAATTAAAAAGATGGGGGGGGGAGAAGATAGAACCAGATCAGCGCAAAAAAAAAAATAAAAATTCACTAGTCCAAAACTCAGGTATTTGCCCAAAATATCCAACCAGGCGATAAAAAGATGAAAAAAAATGTATATATCCCCCCCCAAAAAACTTTAAAAAAAAAACAAAAACAAAAACCCTGCCAATGAACTCTTTTAAGTCCAGGAAGAGGGAATTTCTACAAGAAAAAAGAAAGAGGAAAAGGCACAAAAAGAGAAAAACCAGAAAGAAAAAATAATATTCCAAAGTACCACTATTCCAAAATCTTCCAAAATTTATAGCCTCATCAAACGAAAGGAAACAACAAACAGCTTTCCTTCTTCTTCTTCTTTTTTTCTTATATATCTTCCCCCTTCTATTACAAAGTCACTAGACCACTTCTTATCAAAATCCACTTGCCAGTTTCCAAAACATCCCAAAGTCAGTCCCTTCTCATCTTTTCCTTTGTCCAATTTATCTCTTTAATTTCCTCTGCAATCCAAAATAGTCTTAAAGAAAAAATAAACCCCCAGCTTCAAAACTCCAAACTCTGATTTGCAGTTCTTTAGCCCAAAATGCCTCTTTTCCCAATCTGCTTATCTTCCCAATCCCTATTTTTCTACTGAAACTTATATGGAAACAAGAGATAGTGATGAGGACTGATAGTACTGATTAGGAAAAAAAAGGAACCTAGGTACCCAGCAAAGATGAAAAGCTTAAAGCTAAATTATCAAACAGAAGCCAGAGGGACACAGTTCTGTCAAACTGACTAGCGGCAGAATCATTTAGAGCAATGGCCCCCATCCTTTTGGCACCAGGGACCGGTTCTGTGGAGAGAGGATTTTCCACAGACTGGAGGGGATGTGGTTTCATGTGCTGCTTTCATCTCATGGATGGGGCTTCTCTTGTTTGCACAGCCCAATTTCTGGCATGCCACAGGACTGGTGCCAGTCCATGGACCGGGGATTGGGGACCTCTGATCTAGAGACCTGAGTACGTGTTGTCTAAAACTTAAGCAAATGAACTTTGCCACGGTTAGAAGAAAGTAGATTATGAGTTTTCTGAGATCAAGAATTTTCATCACTTGTTGAGTCTTTATTATGCTAAGCACTTCCAGTTCCTTCAAGCTTTCATCAAAGAATGAGTCTCCAACATCTTTGCCATTCTTTGAATTCTGTTATTTTAGATGTTTTTTTTTAACTTATCAAGATCTTTTAAATTTCTATTTCTATTGTCTATGTTAGAAGGCAGCACTTGAAGAACTTTGAATGGGCTTGGAATTTAAGCAGTGTTTGGGCTGGTTAGTACTTGGCTGGGGGTTCATTTGCTAATACTGTAGGTTATATTGAGATGTTGAAAAAAAAATTCAGAAAAAAGCTGTACCAAATCACTTTTGAGTTACTGCCAAGAAAGTTACTATCCCATTTTATTTAAATAAACTGATAAATATTCCCTCTACCTTTTTATCATTCAAAATTAAATACATAAATTATTGTAGATACATGTTCCAGGACTCAACTTTATGATGCCTCACTCCAAAAATAGATTATGTAATTGGCATTTTATTTTTTATTTCAGAGTTTGTGGGTAGAGAGAACAACACTGATCTTGGTGCAGAGTTTGCCAGGAATTTCCCGATGGTTTGAAGTGGAGAAACGTGAAGTTGTGAGTACAAGCTGGGAAAAATAGATGACCCTCCATTATTACCATAGAATATTAGATGTCAAATATATTTTGCATCCATGCTTTAAATTGCTTATATTAGAATAAAAAATAGCAAATAACAATAAAGCTCAAGTCTGATTTGGAATCTGTTCTAAGAAGTCAGAGAGAAAAGGAAAGGAAGAAATTTGTTTATAGAATTATTAGTGCTTTAAAACTTGATAAATTGATGAATTGATAATTACAGTTTTATTACTTGAATATGAAGAGCTATGGCTAAGAGAAATAAATTTAAATATGTGATGTTCTATAGTACAATATGATATTGAACTCCTTTATTATGTTGCTTAATAAATAATACAATACGAGATGGTATATTGAATATGTTGCTCTAATATCTGAATACCAAAATATTCTCATACTAGCTCCAGTGCTAATGTTGTCCAGTAACTTTTTTCAGACTCATCCTTAATCATAGAATAAGTACATTATTCTTACAGAATTTTCTGGTCTTTGGAATTCCTATTTAAGGCATTTATTTGATAAAAATCACTCATTTAGAAGTATGATGAATTGGTACTTGAATTGTAACTATATAATTAGAACTGATATAATTATATTTTTTTAGTATGGCTCATTGAATGGTTATGAGAAGCTACTGCCTTGTCGTGGCGAAGGGGCTTGCATAGCTCAATGAAGCTTTGAGCTATGCCGTGCAGGGCCACCCAAGACAGACAAAGCAGAGAACTCTGACAAAACGTGATCCATTGGAGAAGGAAATAGCAACCCATTCCAGTATCTTTGCCATGAAAACCCCATGGACAGTACCAAAAGGAAAAAAGATATGACACTGAAAGATGAGCCCCTCAGGTCGGAAGGTGTCCAATATGCTACTGGGGGAGAGCAGAGGGCTAGTACTAGTAGCACCAGAAAGAGTGAAGCAACTAGGCAAAAGCATTCTCAGCCGTGGATGTATCTGGTGGTGAAAGGAAAGTCTGATGCTGTAAAGAGCTATACTCCATAGGAACCTGGAATGCAAGCTGGACGTGGTCAAACAGGAGATGACAAGACTGAACATCAACATCTTAGGAATCAGCGAACTAAAATGGACAGGAATGGGTGAATTTAATTCAGATGACCATCAGGTATACTACTGCGGGCAAGATTCCCTCAGAAGAAATGGAGTAGTCTTCATAGTCAATAAAAGAGTAGAAAAAGCAATACTGGGATACAATCCTCAAAATGATAGAATGATCTCACTTCAAATCCAAGGCAAACCATTCAATATCACAGTAGTCCAAGTCTATGCCCCAACTACTGGTGCTGAAGACGATGAAATTGACTGGTTCTATGAAGCACCTTATAGAATTAACACAAAAAAATGATGTCCTTATCATCATCATGGGGGATTGGAATGCTAAAGTAGGAAGCCAAAAGATAACCAGAATAACAGGCAAGTTTGGCCTTGAAAATGAAGCAGGGCACAGACTGATAGAATTTTGTCAAGAGAATACGATGATCATAGCAAACACTATTTTCCAACAACCCAAGAGATGACTCTACACATGGACATCACCAGATGGTCAACACAGAAATAAGATTGACTGTGTGCTCTGCAGCCAAAGATGGAGAAGCTCTATGTAGTCAATAAAAACAAGACCAGGAGTGATTGTGGCTCAGATCATGAGCTTCTCATTGTAAAATTTAGGCTTAAATTGAAGAAAATAGGGAAAAGCACCAGGCCACTCAGGTATGAACTAAATCATATCCCTGATGAATATACAATAGAAGTGACAAATAGATTTAAGGAATTAGATCCGATAGACAGAGTGCCTGAAGAACTATGGATGGAAGTTCGCAACATTGTACAAGAAGTAGCAACTAAAACCATCCCAAAGAAAAAGAAAGGCAAGAAAGCAAAATGGTTGTCTGAGGAAGCTTTGCAAATAGACGAGGAAAGAAGGGAAGGGAAAGGCAAGGGAGAAAGAGCCAATTGAATGCAGAATTCCAGAGAATAGCTAGAAGAGATAAAATGCTCTCTTAAATGAACAGTGCAAAGAAATAGAAGAAAACAATAGAATAGAGAGGACCAGAGATCTCTTCAAGAAAATTGGAGATATGAAGGGAACATTTCATGGAAAGATGGGCATGATAAAGGACCAAAATGGCAGGGACCTAACAGAGGCAGAAGAGATTAAGAAGAGGTGGCAAAATTACACAGAAGAACTATACAAGAATGAGCTTAACATCCCTGATAACCATGATGGGGTGGTCACTGACCTCGAGCTAGACATCCTAGAATGTGAAATCAAATGGGCCTTAGGAAATCTGAGCAACAACAAAGCTAGTGGAGGAGACTGTATTCCAGCTGAGCTATTCAAAATCTTAAAAGACGATACAGTAAAAGTGCTACACACAATTTGCCAGCAAATTTGGAAAACTCAATAGTGGCCACAGGATTGGAAAAGGTCAGTTTACAATCCAATTCCAAAGAAAGGCAATGCCAAAGAACATTCAAACTATCGCATCATTGCACTCATTTCACATGCTAGTAAAGTTATGCTCAAAATCGTACAAGCTAGGCTCCAGCAGTATGTGGATCGAAAACTACCAGAAGTACAGGCAGGATTTCAAAGAGGCAGAAAAACTAGAGATCAAATTGCCAACATACACTGGATCATGGAGAAAGCTAGGGAATTCCAGAAAAACATCTACTTCTGCTTCATTGACTATGTTAAAGCCTTTGATTGTGTGGATCACAACAAATTGTGGCAAGTTCTTAAATAGATGGGAGTACCAGACTATCTTATTTGTCTCTTGAGAAACCTATATGCGGGTCAAGAAATAACAGTGAGAACTGGACACGGAAGCACTGATTGGTTCAAAATTGGGAAAGGAGTCCGGCAAGGCTGTATACTGTCACCCTGCCTATTTAACTTATATGCAGAGCACATCATGAGAAAGGCAAGGCTAGATGAATCAAAAGTTGGAATTAAGATTGCCAGGAGAAATATCAACAACCTCAGATGTGCAGACGATACCACTCTAATGGCAGAAAGCAAAAAGGAACTAAAGAGCCTCTTGATGTGGGTGAAGAAGGAGAGTGCAAAAGTTGGCTTGAATCTCAACATTACGAAAACTAAGATAATGGCATCCGGCCCTCTCAATTCTTGGGAAATAGATGGGGAAGAAATGGAGGTAGTGACATATTTTATTTGACTGGGCTCCAAGATCACCGCAGATGATCTTGCAGCCAAGAAATTAAAAGACACTTGCTCCTGGGGAGGAAAGCTATGGCAAATCTAGACAACATACTAAAAAGCAGAGACATCACCCTGCCAACAAAAGTGTGTATAGTCCAGGGGTGAAATTCAAAATTTTTCCCTACCAGTTCTGTGGGCATGGCTTGGGGGGGGGGTGTCCTGTGACTGAGTGGGTGTGGCCAACTCCACATCACTCATGGCCATGCCCACTCAGTCACATTGCAGTGAAAATTACCGGAGCTGCTCCGCTTCTTGAATGCACTGGTGCCGCCCTGCATATCGCCCTTCATAGCGCACATGCATATTGTTGACTGCTCCTGCTGCACCGGAGGGACTTGCCCGGGCAAGTCCAAGCAGAACGGCGCATCAGGCAACGGTGTGCACGTGCATGGCCGGCGCATGGTTCAAGGTGGCGCCATGGAGCAGCTCCAGTTATTTTCACTGCAAGAAGCCTGCAGCCGCTGTCTCTTTTTCAGCGCAAGCCCTACGCTCCAAAGTACTGAGGATATGTGGTTTTCCCCTTCCTCTTTCCTCGTCTACATAAAAGCAGTCCGGTTCCCAGTGGCTACTCCAGAGAAGCAGGTGTGGGTTCCAGTTTGGCTCTTTCTGGGGATTTTTGGTAGCCCCCCGACCTCCCGCTTTGTTTGACTTTACTTGAGAGCATAGGAAGTTGGACAGACCCTATTTGGAACGTCAGCAAATTCTTCGCCTCCGAGTCCTAACTTCAAATCCTCTGAAAGGAGATACTGTTGGGGGTAGGTTTCCCTTTCAGTCTCCTGGAAGTGTGTTCACTCTTCATGTACCTTTCCTACAGTTTCCGGCTGTTTCGTCAACATAAGGACACATCGCGTGGCGAAGGGAGAACAGACAGTGAGCACGCAGGGTGCGTGGGGCCAACCAGGGTGGTTTTTACCGGTTTTTACTGGTTCGGCAAACCATTTACAATTGTCGCTACTATCTGATCCAGTCCGAATCGGTCAAATTTTCACCCCCGGTATAGTCAAGGCTATGGTTTTCACAGTTGCAATGTATGGCTGTGAAAGTTGGAACATAAGAAAGGCTGAGCGCCAAAGAATTGAGGCCTTTGAACTATGGTGCTGGAGAAGACTTCTGCGAGTCCCTTGGACTGCAAGGTGATCAAACCGGTCAATCCTAGAGGAGATAAACCCTCACTGCTCTTTAGAAGGCCAGATCCTGAAGATGAAACTCAAATACTTTGGCCGCCTAATGAGAAGGAAGGACTCACTGGAGAAGAGCCTAATGCTGGGAAAGATTGAGGGCAAAAGAAGAAGGGGACGTCAGAGAATGAGGTGGCTGGCTGGAGTCACTGAAGCAGTAGGCATGAGCTTAAATGGACTCCAGAGGATGGTAGAGGACAGGAAGGCCTGGAGGAATGTTGTCCATGGGGTCGCGATGGGTTGGACATGACTTCTCAACTAACAACAACATTTAATAATAATCACTCATTTAAAAGTGTGATGAATTGGTACTTGAATTGTACCTATGTAATTAGGACTGATATAATTATATTTTTTTAGTATGGCTCATTGAATGGTTATGAGAAGCTATTGAAACAAATTATGTGAATAAATAACAAAATATATTCATAACATCTGGAGGTTCTATATAATTAAAATGTCAGAGTTATTTTTATAAATTTTGGCTACAATTAAATGTTCAACAGTAGACACTTCTGTATTTTAACATGGCCATATGGTTATGGCCATGTTAAATTGTGAATAACTTATTTGGAGAAAGGTTTCTCTAACAATTCTTCAGTTTGTGGTTAGGGGTTCATATGTGCCACCAGACTTAAACAGCTTCAACCTTGTTTGAGAGTTTAGATTTTACTTTTTCCTTAAGTATTTGGAGCTGATTGAATGGAATTCCCTTTTGGTTGTTTTTATGATGGTGTTTGGTCACCATTTGATATTCTGCACTTCACATTTATATTTTGTGTATGTTAAATGTGGGGTGGAATGGGATTTAATTTATTATTTATTTTTTTGATATGGTATGTTGCCCAGAGTCACTTGTTTGAGTTGGATGGTTTTATAAATCTAGTAAGTAAGTACAGTAAATAAATAAATCAGCCAAATGTTATAAATAAAAATACAAATTAATAAATGACTTGTTCATCAAATGAGATTAAAATGAACTGTGTGCTTCCTGTGATATAGTTATCAGTTATGCAGTTAGGATTTCAAAACTATCTTCCCATTTCTAGTTCTATGTAACTTTCATCTGCTTACACATACAGTAGAAGCTAAAGTGCCAAGTTTTCCAAAATTGGATTTATATGCTACCACTTAAAATTTATTGATATCATTGGAACTGAATTGTGAACAATTTATTCAGAAAAGGAAAAAAACATTGTAATCCCTCCAAATATTGTTTTAAGAACTTATACAAATTGGTAATCATAAATTACATCCGTAATTATAAAAACCATAAAGAATGCCAGAATTTAGAGATTTTCATTCAACATGAAAATCTCAGAATGACAGACTATGAAATAGTGTGAAAATCAGCATATATTGTTGTGACTTTCAGGTGCAAATCAGCCTTCCTTGTTTTATTTTTGCCATTTTTGTTAACGATGTCTAGGTGGAAATGAGCCCATTGGAGAATGCTATTGAAGTATTGGAAAATAAAAACCAGCAGTTAAGGACATTGATCAGTCAGTGTCAGACTCGACAGATGCAGAATATCAATCCACTTACAATGTGTTTGAATGGTGTAATTGATGCAGCAGTTAATGGGGGAATTGCCAGGTATCAAGAAGTAAGTGTTATTCCGTATGTGTTGGGGTTAGATTGCATTCTTTTTTCAGTATCCCAAATACTAGTTGCTAAGGAGCAATAGTAGAAAACTGTTGTAGCTTTATAGCTTGAGCTTTCAGTTGTCCATTAGATTCTATAGAATACTATATTATTATTATATGTGTCTTCATCCTTGCCAATATTTCTTGTAATTCTCTATTCTCCCAATTCACTAAACCTAATTTAGATAAATGCTAATGTTTTATTTACATTTATTGTTATATTAACTACAAATAATTAAAATCTGAATGGCTAATATTTCAATTGATTTTCAAATCTGCAATATTTATTATACAGGTAGCCTTTGTTTAACAATCCTAACAGAGGTTGGAATCTCATTCATTGAGTGAAGCAATCATTAAGTGAGATGTCCATGCAGGGGTGAAATCCAGCAGGTTCTGACAGGTTCTGGAGAACCAGTAACAGAAATTTTGAGCAGTTCAGTAGCGGAAATTTTGAGTAGTTTGGAGAACTGGCAAATACCACCTCTGGCTGGCCCCAGAGTGGGGTGGGAATGGAGATTTTGCAATATCCTTCCCCCAGTAGTGGGGAGGGAAAGGGGATTTTGCAGTATCCTTCTCCTGGAGTGGGGTGGGAATGGAGATTTTGCAGTATTTTCCCCCTGCCATGCCCACCAAGCCACACTATGCCCACCAAGCCACACCCACAGAACCGGTAGTAAAAAAAATTGGATTTCACCACTGTGTCCATGTGACTGCTTTGCTCAATGATTGCAACCCTGGCACTCCTGATTGAAGTTATTAAGTGATCTTCTTGGTCAGGAAAGTGCTGCCTGCTAAAACATTTCAACTATACACAAAGCTGAAATCCTCTTTGGACACAGCTCTGAGAGTGAAAGGTCTGCCTGCTGAGGATTTCAGTTCCTAGGAAATAGCCTTTTGCTCTCAAACATTCCTGCAGCCCACCAAAGTATTTTCCCCCCTGCCTATGCATGGAAGGAAATCTTTTGTGGGACAGTCAGAACAGAGCTGAAATTCTGAAGATTTTAGTTCCATTCCTGTAACCCTTCAAAAGATTTCAACTCACTTCCATACCAGTGGTGAACTGGTTACTACCAGTTCTGTGGGCATGGGTTGGTGGTGGTGGGGGAATGTGACTGGGTGGGTGTGGCCAACTTTTTTTTTACTTTTAAAAGCATTTTTTCTACAACCTTAAGAGGTTGCAGAAAAAGCTGCTTTTAAAAGCTTCTGACGATCAGGCAACTCAGCTGGGATCGTCAGAGGTTCTTAAAGGCATTTTTTTTTCTACAACCTCTTCGGCTGAAGAGGTTGTAGAAAAAATGCTTTTAAAAGCCTCTGACAATCCCAGCTGAGCCGCCCAATCATCAGAGGCTTTTTTTTTTACTTTTTAAAGCATTTTTTCAGACGAAGAGGTTGTAGAAAAAATGCTTTTAAAAGTAAAAAAAAAGCCTCTGATGATTGCGCAGCTCAGCTGGGCATGGGGGGGGCAGGGATTTTTGCTACCGGTTCTCCGAACCACGCACCACCATCGCTACCGGATTGGGCGATCCGGTCCAAACAGGGAGCATTTCACCCGTTCCATACCCTCTGCTGCAACATTCCTGCTGACTTCCCCATTGACTTTTTGAGGAAGTCAGCAGAGACCATTGCAAATGGTGATCACAGATCATTGTGGGGGAGGCTTGGTGAAGGCTTGGCAATATTGTAAGTGTAGACCAATCGCCGAGCACCCGGCGATTGGTCTACACTTGGGGGGGGGGGTGCAATGTTTTGCAATGCTTAGAAGTGCTTTATAGGCCACAGAGCACACTTTTCAAAGTTGTTATTAATTTGACTCATCATTAAATGAGAATTACCTTTATGCTTTTAAATTCTTTCTTTAAGAAGCTCAAAACAAGTACACTATATTATGCTTTTGTTTCCCCATGATTATTATCAAAACAACTCTGAGAGCATTAGACTGAGGAAGTTATGAATTTCTATATATACTCAGATTTGAATATTTTTCTATCTAGTATAGTATTCTGATTATTACACTATTCTTTTGTTACTATTGTTTTAGTTTTTTCTGTGTGTAAAATAACATTGTGAGAATACATTTTTGCTATGTTATCATGCAATGTAGTATGTTACATATTTATTATTTTTACAAATTACTCAATGTAATGAACATATTTTTTAAATACGTTTTTTTTTATTTTTTACAAATATATCAATGCGTGAACAGTGTGGCACCTGGGTGTCATACATTCTAATAGAACTAAAACAAGAATTAATCATAGTTATTACCTTCAATCAACAGTATATATTTCTATTAATAATACACATTTATATTACGTTGCAGTCTGTCATTATCCAATTATTCCTTGTTTTCTTGTTATTGCTTTTATTTTATTAAAAAAAGCAAAGAAAGAGAGAGAAAAAGAAAAGCAAGTCAGAACAACAACAAAAAGGAGAAATAATCTATCCATCGTCTCTTGCCTGCTTCAATATTTTAATTGCTATGCTTTTTTTGACTTGCCTCCCATATTCCTCTCTTGGATCTTTATCCCTATCTACATCTACTTCTTGGCTGTTCAATCTAGATATTTCTCCCACCCCTACCCTCTTCCACTGCCTAGCTTCCAAAATTTCTACCCAGGCCCCTATTTCCCTTTCAAGAGTATCTTCCTGTATCTCCAATTCTCTTTTCAGCTCTCTTAATATGTTTCCCCCCTCATTTAATTCATCAGTCACTGTTATTTTCATTGTTATCCCCTCCTTGTCATCTTCTTTTATTCTTTGATTCTTCAGCTCAATATTTTCTTCCATTTCTTCTGCTGGGTCCTCCCTTTCCTGGGCATTTTGGTCTTTACTCATCATCCCTTGTATAGTATTTTCCATTTTTTCCGTAATTTCCTTAAATCCTTTCTCCATTTTCCTTTGTGTTTTGAAAAAGTAACGCCATCTCCTTCAAAGTTCCACTCATTTCTTCCTTATAAAGGAAGAAATTTATTTTGTTTTAAACAATTCAACTTTTGTCCAGCAGTCCAAGAACTATTTATTCAGTCCTTAAATTGCCCTTCAAGGAGTGTACTAATTACAGCTCTTTATATCCCTTAGGTATGCAATCAATTCCATTTAAATAGTCCCAGAGTTTATCCAAAGCCTCTTTGCATCCCTTTTACAGGTTCAATCTTCTAGCATAACATTCAGTGGTCCCTTTAATTAGATAGCTTCCTTATTTTTGTATTTGAGCCTCCAGTAGTCATGGGATAGAGTTAAGGATAATCCAGTAAATATTTTCACAGTCCTTCATGTAGGTATTTCCAAACTTGTAATTTTTCCTTTTGTCAGCAGGTGGCACTCTCAACTTAAATTTCAGTATTGCCAATAGTCAATTATCATTTTATTTACAAATCCATTATAAAAGCAGAATAAGTTTTGTAAATAAATTATTCCAGCATTTTAAAATGCCTTCCCAGTACCATGTCTTCCCAGTTTAAGAGTCCATTTTTCTGTATATTTCAAAAATTATTATTTTTCTCTCTAACGCCTTTCACTTCTGGTCTGGTATTTTCTCAGAATGCTTAGATGCCGCTTTAACAAATAGTTCTGAACCAATAGTTCTAAATTATTTCTTGGGGTTAAGTTTAAGGCTAAATGAAATCCTCTCCCCCAGTTCCAGTCACAGTTCACCTACTTCGCTCCAGCACCAGTCTTAGTTGTTCTTCGGTTGTCCCAGCTTTGTGGCAGCCATCTTTAGGCTGCCTCTTCTTCTTGTCGTGGCTGAGAGGGAAAATAAACCCTGGGTCAGACAGGATAGCTGCGACTCTCCGCGACCTCATAGGGTCTCTTTGCTTCACTGCCCCTGCAATGGCTCCTCTTGGAACCCACAAACAGGGAGATTTCAGCACAGGGAACGCAGAGTCTCGTTCCCTGTGTCTGATACCACTGCAACATCAACTAGAAGTTGAATCAATGTAATGACCATATTAAACACCTCCCATTTTCCCCACAACAACAACCCTGTGAGGTGGGTTGGGCTGAGAGACAATACTGGCCCAACTGTCTTTAATTTTTATTAACCATGCTGCTTAGGACAAAATCAAATGTCAGGGTGAGGGAAGATAAACTGGAGGACAAAATAGAGCTCTCATCTTCTGGTAGATAAATATTAATTTCTGCTACGGATATGGGCCCATGAATTTGCAGTTCCCATACTATTGAATGAAAGAGTGCAGAGAAGAGCAACAAAGATGATTCAGGACTGGAAGTTAAAACATATGAAGAACGATTGCATGAACTGGGTGTGTCTAATGAAAACAAGGACTAGGGATGACATGATAGCGGTGTTCCAATATTTAAGGGGCTGTCATAAAGAAGGGAGGATCAACCTAAAGACAATAAGCAATGCATGGAAACTAATTCAAAAGAGAACCAACCTAGAACTAAGGAGAAATTTCCTGACAAAACAATTAATCAGTGGAATGATTTGCCTCCAGAAGTTGTAGGTGCTTCAGCACTAGAGGTTTTTAAGAAGAGATTGGACAACCGAAATGTATAGGGTTTCTTGCTTTAGCATGGGGTTGGACTAGTAGACCTCCAAGATCCCTTCCAACGCTGTTATTCTGTTATTTTAAAAGTGCATCAATTTTGATAATTCCAAAATGTGAAAGTCTTCCCCTTTGATGCAGGTTACCATATTTGTTTACTATTTTATCAATGTATACATTCATGACATATAACTGATGTAAGAAACCTGTAGCTATATTTCCTAGATTTCAAAATAGATAATAAAACATGATTCCATGTAATTTAATAAGAATTTTGCAGATTTTTGTATAAATCAAGTAATTTAAACAGATCCTGATAGAACTTAGTGCATCCATAGATGGTCTAAATAGTAATCAAGATAATGTTAGAGAAATAGGATTTTTCTATAATACATATATTATATGCATAACTTTGAAATAACATGGATGACTTTGTGCAATGATTGTGTTCTTCTCAGGCATTCTTTGTGAAGGAATATGTTCTGAACCATCCAGAGGATGGAGAAAAGATCACATGCTTAAGAGAACTGATGCTTGAGCAGGTAAAAGAAAATTCAAGCAAGCTGCTTTCAATCAATTTTAACAGAACTGTCATATACCTAGGGGAAAAAAATGTACATTATAGCAATTTTCCATTCAGATTCTATTGAGGATTTTTCAAGTATTTAGAAGGACTAGACAGGGAAGCAAACTAAGAGTTATTGATAAGATGATTTTAAAAGGCTATCTCTTTGATGTTAAGAAGAGGTGGTTAAACAGATAGGATTTTACTCTCCATATCTGTATGTGCCTTAGTGCAATAATAATCTAAATGTATTGTAAGGAAATATGAATAAACAGCAAATAAATTCCACCTGCCTTAGTGCAGGTAGGAAAGAAGAAATAAAGTTGTGATTTTAAGTAATTCCCAATATTATCCTACAATTTTAATTCTTTCTTCTTTTAAAATTGATAATAAAATATTTAAACTAGAAAATTGTTGGAATTTATTATTGTATGTGCTAATTTGTGCTGGGTTTCACACATGGTCATTTTCTTTGTATGGAGCTCAGAATAGCCAGTAGAACTCCTTGAACACTGTTATCAAAAGAGAGGCAACTAAATAGATAGCACTCATAATACAATTAGTCCTTGTTTAATGACCTTAATTGGGACAAGAATTTCCATCACTAAGTGAAGCGGTCATTAGGTGAAAAAACATGTGATTGCATTACTTAGCAACAGCAGTTCTGGTATTCCTAGTTGTGGTTGTTAGGTCAGGACCCTCTCATCAGGGTCTAGGACCGTGATGGTGAACCTATGGCACACCTGCCACAGGTGACACGTGGAGCCATTTCTGCAGGCACGTGATCTGTCACCCTAGATCAACTTCACCGCGCATGCACATGCGCCTCCCACCAGCCTGCTGATTTTTGGTACTCTGCCACATATGCGGGAGATGCACATGCATGCCCATGCCACCAGGCCCCTCCCAGGAATCCCCACGCGGCCTGTTTTGGATGCCAGATAAGTACAGGGCTCGTGTGAGGCTCTGGGAGGGTGAAAAACAGGCCTACCGGAAGTCCAGAAATGAGCCGTTTCTGGCCTCCAGAGGCTTCAGGGAGGCCTGCTAGGCCCAAAATGGGGCATGGGGGGGTTGCACACCCCTGCGCAGGGGGGCGGGGCAGCACAGAGATTGTGCACGCATGCGCAGAGGGGCGGGGCGTGCATGGGGGGCATTGCATTATGGGTGTGGGCACGTGCGTGTGATAGCCCGAGGAAAAAAAGATTAGCCATCACTGATCTAGGACCTTCAGGCCCACCTTGGGCATGCCTCCTTCACCTCAAGCCACCTGCCTCAGCCCACTCACAGCCAGCTTTCCTCCTCCACTGGCCCTTCCCCGGCGATTCTGCCTGGCCAATGGGCCTCTGGTCCTTTGCCCCTTGCCCTTTGGCTCGGCCCATTCGCCAAGACACTGTTTGTCCTGGGAGTTTCGCACCATGGGACAAAAAGCCACCAGCCTATCAGGTGGCAGGCAGCAATGGGACTGGGAAGGCTGACCGAGGGGTCTGGAATGTGGATGTGATTGGTGACAGGTTACTGAAGAGAGCAAGGCAAGCAGGCAAATGCTTCCTGTGCGTGGTTCATGCTGGTGCTAGAAGGGGGAAGCAAGCAAATGCTGCTTGCGCACTGCTCCTGGGGGGGCTGGGGAGGGCACAGGCAAATGCTGCCTGCATATAGTTGGTGCTGATGCTGGGAGAAGGAAACAGGCAAACACTGCCTGCACACTGCTCCTAAGGGGTGGGGTGGGGGGCGCAGGCAAATGCTGCCTGTGTGCGGCTCGTGTTGGTGCTGGCGCAAGCAAATGCTGCTTGCGCACTGCTCCTGGGGCGCTGGATGATGGCAGCAAGGTATTAGTGGTAAACACAGCTGCTGGTGGTGTGAGGGGTGTCAAATGGCATGGCGTGTAATGGGGGGGGGGCAACTGAATTGCCTGTTCAGTGTTAAGCCAGAGTCCAGGTGCAGAGGCAACAGATGTGAGAGTTCAAATTGGGAAGCCCCCTCCCACTGCTGCCTGCCTGTTGCCTGCGGTGGCACCATTTTCACCCCCGCCATTGCCTCTGCACCTGGTCTCCCCCTGCCCCCAATCCTGCCTGCCTGTTGCCGAATGGGCAGTTTGGCTTCCCCCCCACCATGTGCCACCACCTTTCAACACACACGCCACAGTTTTTGCCTGCTTTCTCCTCCCAGCACCAGCATGAGCCACACGCAGGCAGCATTTGCCTACTCCCCCCTCCCAACACCAACACCAGCCATACGCAGGCAGTGTTTCCCTGCTTCCCTTTCCGAGGACCAGTACGAGTGGCGCGCAGGCAGCGTTTGCCTGCCTGCCCCCCCTTGCTCTCTTCGGTAACCTGTCACCAATTGCATCCCCCTTCCAGCCCCCTCAGTCACCCTTCCCATCCCTATCTTTGCCACCTGTCACCCGATTGGCAGGTGGCTTTTTGTCCTGTGAAGTGAAACTCCTGGTACAAACAGTGTCTTGGTGAATGGGCCCAGCTGAAGGGCAAGGGGCAAATGGCCAGAGGCCCCGTTGGCCAGGGAGAATCGCTGGGGGAGGGCCAGCAGAGGAGGAAAGCTGGCTGTGAATGGGCTGAGGTGGGTGGCTGAAGGCGACAGAAGTGCAGCCAAGAGTGGGAGCCTAAAGGTCCTATTCCATCTCATCATTAGACAAGGAACTCATGTTTCCTTGTAGTGCTTACTTGGGTTTCAACTCCCCCGCCCCCAGCTATTTCCACCCCCTGCCCTTTTGGCTACCCTGTACTCCACTGCCATCTACACCTGCTACTCCCCACCACTCCAGCTGACTTTTGTTGTCTTGTTCCTGCTGCTGCTGAAGCACACCTAGTCCTTCCTGTGGCCTTGGACGGCTTCAAGGACACTGTGCAAGACCACCCTGAGGCATAATGAAGGCCAGCAACTGCCTAGGCCAGGTACACTTTCTCAGCAGCAGGAGGAAGAAAGCAGTTAAGGTAAGCAGAGTGCAAGGGCAGGGAGGGCAGGAAGACCAAAAGAGCAGAGATGGGAAAGATAGGCAAGTGGGGTAGAAGTGCCTGCAGCTGTTGTAAATGCAGGTGGGCAGTCAAGAGCCTAAATATTAATCATGTGATTGTGGGAGGCAATGTAGTGGCCATAACTTTGAGGACTGTTCATAACTATCACTCATTCAGCATCATTGTAACTTTAAACCATCACTGAACGGATTGTTGTTAAATGAGGCCTACCTATATTAGAGTTAATGTATTAAAAAGTCTGATATTGGAAGTTTCCAGGAACCGGGCATGGATAATCTAGTGAAGAGAAGGACCAGGGGAGACATGATAGCAGTGTTCCAATATTTGAGGGGCTGCCACAGAGTGAAAGGGGTCAAGCTATTTTCCAAGGCATCCGAAGGCCAGACAAGGAATAATGGATGGAAACAGAACAAGGAGAGATTCAACCTAGACATAAGGAGAAATTTTCTGACAGCAAGAACAATCAACCAATGGAACATCTTACCTTCAGAAGTTGTTGGAACTTCATCACTGGAAGCTTTCAAGAAGAGATTGGACTGCCATCTGTCAGAAATGGTGTAGGGTCTCCTGTTTGGGCAGGGTGGTGGTGGACTAGATGACCTAGAGGGTCCTTTCCAACTCTGTTAATCTAATCTGAATCCAGTTTAATTTGTATTTTATTGTCTTGCCCAAATCAAGCAAGCTTTATTGTTAATTTTAATTGTCATATATTTGAAGTAAGATTTGATTAGCAATTGGCATTGGAAGCTAGCTTGTTTCATCAAAACCTTGTACTCCCTTCTTGAAGGAAAAATATAATTAAGGGTCAGATGAAGTACTAATATTTAATGAATGAATGTCTGACATTAATTGGTTTTTAATCCCATCACTAAATCATGAGTCATCCATATTGTCTCAGTATGAACTGAGTATATAGCATTAATAGTACAAATTCCTGAATTGTATTACTATAGTATTGAACTCTCCCCCCCTCTCTCTGTGTGTGTTCAAATATTTTGTTTTGGATTTTGTTCTAAGGCCCAGATTCTTGAATTCGGCTTAGCAGTCCATGAGAAGTTTGTCCCCCAGGATATGAGACCTTTACATAAAAAACTGGTGGATCAGTTTTTCATGATGAAATCTAGTTTAGGAATACAGGTATGTGATATTCCACATTCCATACAGATATGTGGTCTTCCAAAGACGGTACATTTGAAACCAAATATAGAAATGTCTGCATCTGAAATAACATTTTTATTAAGCAATAAACAGTGACATCTTCTGGCTGCATGGCTGCATGGCTGCATTGATTTTCTTAAAAGTTTATGACTTCAGCTGAGAAATAGATTTTTTTAAAAAATTAAGAAACACCATCTAATTTTAGTTTACTATATTTCACTTTTCCCATAAGATATTCATTTAAGATGTAAACATATCTTTAAAATAGTAATTCTTATTGTCAAATTTGAATTTAGGAATTTGCTGCATGCATCCAGGCTAGTCCAGGTCACTTTCCAAATGGAAGCCCACGTGTCTCTAGAAATTCTGTCCCTATATCCATGAGTCCAGAGGTGGGCAGAATTTCTAGACATAGGTAAGTTAAAGCTACAAACAAATAAATTAAAAAAGCTTCCTGTGTTTCTAATTTAGGGACATCTTTTATAAGGTGTATAACAGGGATGGGGTAGCATTCAAAACCTTAAGAAAGTTCTGATCTTCTAAAATAATTGTATTTAGCTGCTAAGAGAGTTGTGAAATATTCACAAAAGGATTGGATAGATCACTGTGATGGAAGGGATAATGTAGGAGAGAAATTGTACTGCAGAATTTGGAAATAGACTATTTTATTTTGACATCAGATGGATGTCAAATCAAATGGATTTGTAATTGGCTGACAAACCGTACTCAACGAGTAGTCCTTAATGGAACTATATCTACATGGAGGGAAGTAAGCAGTGGGGTACCACAAGGTTCCGTCTTAGGCCCAGTACTCTTCAATATCTTCATAAATGACTTAGATGACAGTATAGAAGGGGAACTTACCAAATTTGTAGATGATACTAAACTGGCAGGAATAGCCAACATCCTAGATCAGTGATGGCGAACCTTTTTTTCCTTGGGTGCCGAAAGCACGCACATGCCAACATCCATAATGCAATGCCTCCCACAGGGCAGCCCCCCCGTGCATGCGTGTGCCCCCCTGCACTCCCCCTGCCCCTGTGTATGCACACGTGACTCCTCCGTACTCCCCCCGCCCACCGCGGGTGCACATTTTTGTGCTAGCAGGCCTCCCTGAAGCCGCCTGGAATCAAAAACGGCACAGGGTCTCCTGGCAGAGACCCAAAAATCAGCTGGCTACCAGGAGGTGCGTGGGTATGCATGGTGGAGCTGACCTGAGCATTGGCTCGTGTGCTTACAGAGATGGCTCCGCGTGCCACAGATGGCATGCGTGCCATAGGTTCACCATATGGCCCTAGATGATAGGCTCAAGATCCAGATGGATCTTGACAGACTTGAACACTGGGCCTGATCTAACAAAATGAAATTCAATGTAGAAAAAAGTAAAGTCTTACACTTAAGCAAGAAAAACCACAAGTATACATATAGACTGGGTGAAACCAGATGTCAGCGTTCCAGCGCTGACATATCAAAGGAGAGGAGAAGCTTGAACTTTTGCCTACTTAATTCTTTGAAGATTCTGTTTCCTTGGAGATGAGAGGAGGGGGGACATTCCTGTAATCTGACGGAGATGGGATGAGGAGAGTGGCTTGGAAGATAGCCAATGAGATGCAGAGAATTGGGGATCGGAAAGGGAGGGCTTGGGGGGCAAAGGTCAGTGCTAACCGCGAAAGAGCCAGGGACAGATCACTATGCTCAATAAAGAGAAAATTTCCTCAAAGATCGGCAGTTTGGAAATTCATTTATTTTGAGATAGCATCGAAACCTGACACTAGGCTTAATATTTATTTATTTATTTTATTTATTTATTTTATTTTTTTATTAATCATATTTTTATGCCGCCCACTCTCCGAGGACTCTGGGCGGCTTACACCAAAGACAGTATACTAAATAGCATATTGCCCCCGACAATCTGAGTCAGGGGCATTTTATCCACCTCAGAAGGATGGAAGACTGAGTCAACCTTGAGCTGGTGAGATTTGATCTGCTGATCTGCTGAACTAGTAGTCAGTACTGCACTCTAACCACTGCGCCACCTTGGCTCATAATAGCAGTAACTGTGAGAGGGATATTGGAGTCTTAGTGAACAACCAATTAAATATGAGCTAATAGTGTGCGGCAGCTGCCAGAAAAGTTGATGCAATTCTAAATTGCATTAATAGAGGGATACAATCAAGATCAAGTGAGGTACTAATACCACTCTTATGCCTTAGTAAGACCACACCTAGAGTACTGCATCCAATTTTGGTCACCACACTATAAAAAAGACGTTGAGACTCTAGAAAGCGTGCAGAGAAGAGCAACCAAGATGATTAGGGGACTGGAGGCTGAAACATACAATGAATGGTTGCAGGAACTGGACATGGCTAGTCTAGCAAAGAGAAGGATCAGGGGAGACATGATAGCAGTGTTCCAATATTTGAGTGGCTTCCACAGAGAGGAGGAGGTCAATCTATTTCCCAAAGCGCCTGAAGGCCAGACAAGGAATAATAGATGAAAACTGAACAAGGAGAGATTCAACCTAGAGATAAGGACAAATTTTCTGACAGTGAGAGCAATCAACCAATGAAACAGCTTGCCTTCAGAAGCTGTGGGAGTTTCAACACTGGAAACTTTCAAGAAGAGACTGGACTGCCATCTGTCAAAAATGGTGTAGGGTCTGCTTGGGCGGGGGGTTGGACTAGATGATCTACAAGGTCCCTTCCAACTCTGTTAATCTGTTAATCTGACATGACAGAAAACATTCTGAAATGAATCAATACTACCTGTTCATACATAATCTTTCACAATCAGTTTAAAAATATCAATACAGGTAGCCCTTGACTTTCAACCACTATTGAACTCAAAATTTCTGTTGGTAACCAAGACAATTGTAAGTGAATTTTGCTCCTTTATGATCTTTCTTGCCACAGTTGTTAAATGAATCACTCCAGCTCTTAAGTTAATTGTTAAGTGAATCTGGCTTCCCTACTGACCTTGCTTGCTGCAATAGTCATAAGTATGAAAAGTGGTCATATTTCACTTCTTTCACTGCCGTTCTAACTTCAAATGGTCACTAAATGAACTGTTGTAAATTGAGGGCTACCTGTATGTGGATGTATATTTTATACATGGATCCTGTGGAATTAAGCTATTAAAAGTAGGACATGATAAACTGAAAATAGAGCCAGGATTAATGAAATTTATTCTGTTCTTTGCTTGCAATAGTCCATTATGTTACCCAGCTATCAACAGATACTCTTCCTCATCATTGTCCTCTCAAGCATCTGCAGAGGTCAGCAATATAACTGGACAATCCGAGAGCTCAGATGAAATTTTCAACATGCAGGTACCAAATAATACTTTATCTGAGATGGATAAACGTACACCTTCTAAGGCTTGTTATAGGATGGGAAATTGTGAGAGAAAGCAGCAAATCCAAAAAGGACTGTGAAGATTTGAATTTACTGATAGTTGAAACAATGTAATGTAATGTAAAGTGTCCATTAACTTGTAAGTCATTATATAATAGCATTCTGTTTAAAACAATGCATCTTTAAAATATAGTACTAGTAACCAAAAGCTAATTAATGAATACATCAGGGGGGAAGTTAATTTTGATTTCATTAAGTCCAGAGGAAAGTGGTTTCTTTTTTATGGTAAAGTCCCAAAGATACAATATGTATCTTTATCAAGCATATCTAGTGTATGGTTGCTTTATTGTAGGCTTGTAGGCACTTGCTATATACTTATTCTTAAATATCCACAAAGGAAGCAGTGATATCTTATAGCAATAGCACTTATATACTGCATCATAGTGCTTTACAACACTCTCTAACAGAGACAGAGTCAGCATATTGCCCCAGCAATCTGGGTCCTCATTTTACCAAACTCGAAAGGATAGAAGGCTGAGTCAATCTTGAGCCGGTAAGGATTGAACGCCTGGCAGTGAGCAGAATTAGTGCCACCAGTGTGCCACCACGGCTCATATACTGATACTTACCGTATTTTTTGGAGTATAAGATGCACCGGAGTATAAGACACAGCTTAGTTTTTGGGGAGGAAAATAGGAAAAAAAAATCTGCCTACCAGGTATTCATCTGGCTAGCGTCCTTAGTCTGGTCAGCTTCAGCACATTATTTTGCTGGTTTTGAGCATGCGTGCATGCTTTTTATCCCCTCCTTGGGGATAAAAAACAGCTTCTAAAGCACAGCTGAGAGGGAGCAGCAATGAGAAAAGCAGGCAAAGCACGGAGATCGCTTTACTCACTAGTGCCTCATTAGGGCTGGAAAAAAGCTTCGAAAAAGCTACATTCGGAGTATAAGATGCACCCAAATTTTCAGTCTCTTTTGGGGGGGGGAGTGTGTCTTATACTCTGAAAAATATGGTATATCATATATGTATACTGATATGTGACATTCAGTGACTCTGCCACCAAAAATTTCAAAAACTAACAAACAAAAATATAAGTTTAAAAAAAGGGCAAAAACTCATCTACCAAATATGTTTGCCACCAAAAAAACTAGAGCAAAACTGTTTCCACAGATATAGGTGAGAGACTTGGCCCTAACTCTCCCTAGAGTATTAAGTAAACTCACAGTTATAAACTTTAAAATATGATGCCATAATACTATTAATGCCAGTTTAAATACAGTTTTTATTGTATGAAACCTGACATGTAGTCATAGTCTTGTGTGAAAAGTGATATGGTTCTGTACCAGTATAATTATTATATAATTATTTCTTGATATGGGTAAATGTCCATGAAGGTGGAAGAAAATGGTTAAGCCTTATTTATTTTTATACTGCTAAGAATTGTAAAATAGACCAGTTTCCACATGAGACTTAGATTTTGTTGATATGTAAGGCAAGAATCCTTTGGAATGTGACTGCTTCTCTGGAGACCTAGTGTAGAATTTTGCCCTGAGTTGCCAGGCTTAAATTACTGTTTATGTACAAATATGCATCTTTTGAAATAATTTTAAAATGAGTAAGATGCCAGGATTCTTCAATGATGTATTAACAAGAGAAAAACCAAGTCCAGATAAGTATATATATCACACATAAGATTATCAGTCAAACACAATAAAGTGCAAAGTTTTAATATATTAACCCTGGGATTCCTCATTATAGGATTACATTAAAAAATCATTTTCCTACTGTAGTCTGTGGTTTGTGAGATTCACGCTTGCTTCTCTAATGCAGTGTTCCCCAGCCTTTCTGGCTTGGCCAGACTGATAGGGGGGGAGGAGAGGGGAAGAGAGGGGAACTGGGCAATGCACATGTCCGTGCACACAGCTTGACTCACTTGAGTGCAGGGTTGCTGTGCACGCATATGCACACGCAACTGAACTGCAAGTGGAGCTGCACATGCATGTGTATGCGTGGCAGCCCGCCATTTGCACAGGGTAAGCTGCATGCACTTGTCTACCAGCCTACGGTTTGGTTGCGAATAGGCCATGGCCTGGTAGTGGATCATGGCCTGGTTGTTAGGAACCCCTGCTTTACTGGAATAATTAATCCAGAGCCACTGTGACAACCACATGGATTTTGAATAAGAAGACAAATGTAAACATTTAGTTATTTTTTATCTAAGCTGGTACTTCTCAGTTTTTAATTCTTTCAATAAAAATCTGATTAGGCATTATTTGGGGTATGCATCTAAGAAAAAGGATATTTAACTTGCTCTAGTTATGCATACAACAAGCAAAGACAAAAATTATTCTTGAAAGAAACAAAATTCAAATATCTGCAAGTACTCAAATATATTGTTTTATTTTTGGAATTAATATTAATGCATCTTTAGTTTCTCTTGAATTCTTTCTCATGAGTACTTCTGTCTTACAATTCCTCCAAAATAAAACATTTTTATTTTTTACCCTACATTTTTAATAGCTAGGGATAGAATGTAATTGAAAATAGAAGACAAAATTCTCTTCTGAAAGACTTACAAAGAAGGAACATTGCTAAAGAATCTTAGAACAAGAGGAAAAGACCTTGTTATTTTATAAAATCTACAATTATTTTATAAATGTTGGCACAATCAATCAATGGTTACTAAAGGAAATAAATTAGACAAAATCTGAGCTGGTCATTATAGAATAATCTGAATTGGATTTAGGTTGCAGTCATATAAACAAGTTCCTCTGTGCCATTTTTCTTGTAGGCAGTAGACAAGCATCAGGTTACATCTTCAATCATTTATGTATCATCCAACCATATTTTTGCTTCAAATATTACATTTTCCATAAGCCTAAGAGGTTTTGTAATGAGCTGCTGTCAGTGCATGTTGCTGCTGTTTTTTTTCACCAAGTTGCATGATACTGAGAGTTTGTGGCTTTTATGTATTTCCAGCCAAGCCCATCTACCTCAAGTCTGAGTTCTACTCATTCTGCTTCCCCTAATGTGACCAGCTCTGCTCCATCCAGTGCTAGAGGTTAGTGTTTTATTACACAACAATCCTTATGGAATCTTTATGGATCAAAACTATACTATTAGATCTAAATCACATTACATGGAAATTCTACATGGGATATAGGCCTCTGTAAATTTTTTATCAATATGTGTCCCCCACCCAAATAATCCACCATATTGCAGATTGAAGAATTGCATTGATTCTCTAGGTTTGTCTTGTATTCTAGGCTCACCTCTGTTATCAGACAAGCTTAAATATTCCAGAGAAAACTCTTGCCTATCTCCAAGGGAGAGGCCCTGTAGTGCCATTTACCCTAATCCTGCTGAACCTTCACAGGTAGGCATTACTCAGGGTGCAGTTAAAGAGCTACATTCCTGAAAATGAACTGTCATGGTAGACAAATGTTTTAGTTCACCTTATTGATTCTTATTATTTTAAAGTTTCTATAATCTCAATTTATAAGGAGGGGCTGGCCTGATTAGTGCTTGGTTGGGAGACTTCTGGGGCTGTATCAGGTTACAGCGGGAACTTAAAAAAACAACAAAAATAAACCATTCCAGAAGAATGAAGTGACAAACCATTTCCATACTGTTGCCAAAACCCTACATGCATACATCCATTCAAAATCTTTTTGAATTTACAGATAGATTAAGTGACAATTTCAGGAAACTTGGTTTAGATGCCCTGATTGTTGATTGCTATTCAGAAAAAGTGAAAAACTCCAGGTTGTCTACTTCTGGCTTACCTACACCAACCTTTTGAGCTATTTCTTTAAGAATGTCAGATAAAAATGATGTTCCTTTTGTTAATAAAATCACCTCTTATTTTAAAGTAGGCAAAGTCTGCATGAAGTAAAGGCATGAATGGACATTTTTCATTTATATATCTCATCTCTAAGTAAATTATTACTTAGTACTTAATAAATAAATTATTTTTATTTAATACATGTTTAAAACCTATGCAGTTCTTTACATTTTATCAGATAATTAGCAATGTATTTGTGATGCTGAGACTTGGATCAGATATGATCTATTTCCTCTTGATCACTGGACTCCTAGGTCAGTTTACATAAAACTGCTCTTTCAGAGGATCTTAATTTAAAAAAAATATGTACTGTTCTTATATCTTTTTTTTTTTTTTTTTTTTTAAATATACTTTATTGAGTTTTCCAATATTTAAAAAGACAAAATACAATCTCAATCTTGATCCGGGGTACGGTGTTTACACATTTCATAAGTCAAATATTGGATGGATTCCATCCATAACTATCACTATACATTATATTATACAATACTATATAATCGTCTACATTTCTATACCATTGAGTCCATTTCTGGTGTTTAAGCAACTATAGCCTATTATCGTACTTTTATCCTATTCTTTAACCAATTATACCAAATTCCCCATACTTCATAGTGCTTAGAATTTTCTTCATTTTTTAGCTCGTTTGTCAGTTTAGCCATCTCTGCGCACTCTAGGATTTTATTTATTAATGTTTCCTCAGAGGGGGTAGATTTAGATTTCCAAAGTTTCGCAAAGGCTATTCTAGCCGCAGTAATAATTTGAATTGCCAAATGGGTTTTATTATTGTTGTGACCATCTTCCGTCATACCTAAGAGAAAGAATTCCGGGGCCAGGACTATCTCCTGTCCCATTATTTCAGAGAGCCAGAGTCGGATCTTTAACCAAAACTTTTTGGTCTCAGGACAAGTCCACCAAAGATGATAAAAGGTGCCGACCGTTTTTCCACATTTCCAGCATAAAGCAGAAGAGTTTGGGAATATTTTAGCCAGCCTGTCCGGGGCTAGATACCACCTATGCAACATTTTGTAGTGGTTTTCCCTGAATGTTGACGATTTTGTTATTTTGAGGTTCCTATTCCAAGCTGTCTCCCAGTCATTGAAATTAAGGCCATATCCTAAGTTTTTCTCCCAAATGCTTAACTGTTTTTTAGCTATCATCTCCGCTCTATCCTCATCTAATATAAAGTTATAAATTTTGGATAACATTTTCTTATCTGGACCCCAAATGATTTTATCAAAATATCCATATTTCATTTCAATACCCCTTCTATCTCTATCTTCTTGAAATCTAGACTTAATTTGGAGATAGTTCCACCAGTCCAGATTGAACCCCTGGTCCCTCAATGCTTCCAAAGGTTTGAGCTTCCCTTCTTCGTCCAGGATATCCTTATATGTGCCCATTTTATAGTTTCCTCTCCTATTTGGGACCACTAGAGCTTCCATAATCGACAACCAGCTAGGAACCTTGGTATATATCTTCTGTCTAATTTCCCGCCACGTACAAATCAATGTCTCTCTTATTTTATGTTTATGAAAATACGTTTTCCTCCTATCCTTTATATCCCAGAGGTAAGCATGCCATCCTTCATGGAGGTCATGTCCTTCTAGTGTCAGAGTTCTCCCTTCTTTTAATTTAATCCACTCCTTTATCCAAATTATTTTTGCCGCCTTTTGGTATAATTCCCAATCAGGGAGCCCAAACCCTCCCAAGTTTCTTTTCCCTTGAAGTGTCTTAAGAGATATCCTTGATTTCTTACCCTCCCACAAGAAATTCCTAATATATTTATTCAAATCCAGGAAGAATTTTTTATCCAGAGATACCGGTATGTTTTGAAATAAAAATAGAAATTTCGGTAGAATATTCATTTTGATCGCCGCAATTTTCCCGGTCAGGGACAATTTAAGTCTCCTCCACCTATCGAGGTCTTGATTGATTTTCTGCAATAAGGGAATATAGTTATCATCTTTTAATGAAGATAGTCTTGCGGTAATCCATATTCCCAGATATTTTGTTTTCTTAACTACCTGGAGGCCTAGTAGATCTTCTAATTCTTTCGTTTGTAGGTTTGTCATATTTTTCACGATTATTTTAGTTTTGTTCTTATTAAGTTTAAGGCCCGCGACTTCTCCATAGTTCTGAACTTCCTGCATTAATTTTGAGCCGGTGTCTAATGGGTCTTCAATTATAAAGGCGACGTCGTCCGCAAAAGCCTGGGTTTTAAATGTTTCCTTCCTAATCTTTAAGCCTTTGATATCTTCATTTGCTCTAATCTTTCTAAGTAGGACCTCTAGTGCTAGAATGTAAAGTAAGGGGGATAGGGGACATCCCTGCCTGACTCCTCTTTGGATCTGAAATGTCCGAGTTCTGTCTCCATTCACTAGTATGTTTGCCCTTTGATTATGATAGATATTCTCTATCATCCTCCTAAAGTTAGTCCCGAATCCCATTAGATCTATTTGATTTATCATGAAGGTCCAATTTAAATTGTCGAATGCCTTTTGGGCATCAACAAACATTAAAGCCATCTGCTTTTCAGGGTGTTGTTCATAGTATTCAATAGTATTTAAGACTGTTCTCAAGTTGTCTCTAATCTGTCTCCCAGGGAGAAAACCATTTTGATCCTTGTGTATCCATCGGTTTAGAATTTTCTTAAATCTCTCCGCAATTATAGTCATAAATAATTTATAATCTGCGTTAAGCAGTGAGATGGGTCTATAGTTGGAAATCTGTTTCGGGTCGGCACCTTCTTTCAGAATGATCGTCAGGTAGGCTTCCCTCCAGGAGTCTGGGATTGTTATACCAGCAATAACATCATTTAAAATTTCTAGCAGTTCCAATTTCAGGGCATCATCAAATTTTTGATATAGTTCCCCAGGGAGACCATCAGGGCCTGGGGTTTTATTCTTCTTTATTTTAGATAAGGCAGATCTTAACTCCTCTATGGTGATCTTTTCATTTAACATTTCCTTTTCTTCTTCCGAAATTTGAGGGAGGTTGGCTTCCAACAAATACTGTTCTACCTTATTTAACTCAATTCCTTCGTTTTTGTAAAGACACTCATAAAATTTTCTTATACTTTCTAATTTATCTTCTTCCTTTGTCAACAAGATGCCCTGCGGGTCTTCTAAAGCTAATATTTGGTTTTTTTCCTTCTCTTTTTTTAATTTATACGCCAACCATCTCCCCGACTTGTTAGCATTCTCGAAACAATAATGCTTAGATCTTCTTATTTTTTGAGCCATCTCCTCCTGGTCCAATAAATTCAATCGGTGTCTCAACATCAACCACTGTTGTTTCGTCTCCTCGTCTCCCGGTCGTTGCTGTAATTCGGCCTCAGTTTGTATTAATTTTTGAGTAAGTTCTTCTCTACTCTTTCTTTTTTCCTTATTTTTAAAGGCAGTATATGAAATAGCTATTCCCCTGACATACGCCTTCATAGTGTCCCACACAATTTCTTTGGCTGTCTCTCGATTCCCATTTTCTAAGAAGAAGCGTTTGATTTCTTCATTCAATTTTAGTGTAAACTCTTTTTCGTTTAAGAGATTAGTCCTTAAACTCCATCTCTGTTGTATTTTCTTCATATCGTGGGACCAACTGATTTCTAGGAGCTTATGATCTGCCCAGGTATTAGAGTCCATATTAACTTTCTTTATTTCTAACGCCAATTTTCTGGTAGCCCAAACCATATCGATTCGGGACCAGGAGTTCTGTGGGATGGAATAAAATGTAAATTGTCTGTCCTGGGGATGTAAGGTACGCCACATGTCAATTAAATTTATCTCATCTACTAAGTCAAAGAAGGTCTTTGGTAGGGGAGATCTTTTATTCTTTTTTGTTATATCACTCTTATAATCAAGCTTTGGATCCACAATTCCATTAAAGTCCCCTAGCATACAAATTTCAAGATGTGCCCAATTTGCCAACTGTTCCTGCAATTTCCTGTAGAATTTCCCTTGTTTTTTATTCGGTGCATAGACCCCTACCAATAACAGCCTAGCATTGCCTCTCGTTATTTCAACTATAAGTATTCTCCCTTTTCCATCTTTATATTTGCATTCTGCCATTATTCCTTTCTTAACGTAGATGGCGACCCCCCTTTTCCTTTTCTCTGCTAATGAGGAGAATACTTTACCAAATTTACAATAATTTAGATAATCAGCCTCATCTTTTTTTATATGAACTTCTTGGATGCAGATAATATCGGGGTTTTGTTTCGCCAATTTTGACAATATTATCCTTCTTTTTTTGTAATCATTTAAACCGTTCGCGTTTACCGATATGATCTTAGTATCGTTCATTTCTAAAATTAGTTTCTAGTCTCTTGTTCTTACTTGCCTTTTAAAGTTACGGCTCTCACTGGTCTTGATTTTTTTTCCTCTTTCCTCAGAATCCTCCTTTTTCTTCTCCTCTTCTATATCTTCTCTAGTAATTTGCTCTTGGGATATCTCTTCTTCCGTATTTACTATCTCGTTATCCTCCTTACTAGTTTGCTCCTCCTCTCCTCCCCTTAGTTGTTCTAAAAAGTCCTGAGC